GTGTGTGTGTGTGTGTGTGTGTGTGTGTGTGTGTGTGCGTGTATGGTCTTTATTTCTCCTTCTTTCTTTCCTTTTCTAGACACTTTGCCACTTCCCGTGGAAAGCCCCACTAGAGATAACAGCCACAGCCCCTGCTTTCTGTGCTGGTATAAGCCCACACCAGGAAGCTACCAGCCCGCCAACAGCAAGTTAATTCTGGCCCCTAAAGTTGCCACTATCAGTGGAAGCCGCAGTTGGCAACTATCAGTTCCAGCCTGGCAAGTTGCCTCAGAAAAGGTCTGCTGGGTGACCAGCCAGCCATTGGTCTTCCCTCTGACTCAGTTTACCCTGTGGTGTTGAACCTGGTCTTTGACAGCTGCAGAAGTGTCATTTTGTAATGCCAACTCATCTGTGCCAGGTGTAGAAGTGTGTTAGTGATTGTGCTCAGCATTTTATTTAGGAAGGATCTCTGGAGTATCACTTACTATTTTCTCAAAAATTTTCTCTTTGTAAATTCAGTTTTCTTTTCTTTTTTTTAAAGATTTATTTATTTATTTATTATTTATACATGTACATCTGCATGACAAAAGAAGGCACCAGATCTCATTATAGATGGTTGTGAGCCACCATGTGGTTGCTGGGAATTGAACTCAGGACCTCTGGAAGAGCAGCCGGTGCTCTTAACCTCTGAGCCATCTCTCCAGCACCCCAAATTCAGTTTTCTAAATTTTAAAATTTGTTCTGTGACTTTTTAATGTAAGCACGGTGAACTTTTAATGTATTCAGTTTAACACTCTGCTAACAGGAGTCATGACAAAAGTTTCATACATATGTGTTAATCTACACACAGTCTCCCCCACCCACTACCATCCTGCTTTCTTGTACCCCAACCTGACCTCCCCCAGAAAACACTCCTTTAGTCACACACACACACACACACACATACACACACACACACACACTGAAATGTAAACTCTATAAGTAAACACAGATGTTCATCATTCTGAGTCTGGCTTATCTCCTGTCCCTTAAGGAGATCCAGAACCATCTATTTAACTTCATGGATCCTGATTTCTCTCTTCAGGGCTGACTAGTATTCCACTGCACATGTGCCAGCTTTCTTCCTCCATCCGTCACCCTGGGCTGTTCAGGGTCTGGGCAGACAGACAGACATGTGTTCCCCTGTCACTGTCATTCTTATTGTCTTTCAGGGTGGCTCCTCGGGCAAAGGCACCGCGCTCAGGGGCAGATCGGATGCAGACCTAGTGGTGTTCCTGAACAATTTCACCAGCTTTGAGGACCAATTAAGGCAACGGGCAGAGTTCATTGAGGAAATTAAGAAACAGCTGAATAAGTTTCAGTATGAGAGAGGGGTGAAGTTTGAGGTCCAGAATCCACGGGGGCCCAACTCCCGGGCTCTGAGCTTCAAGCTGAGCTCCCCCCAGCTCCAGCAGGAGGTGGAGTTTGATGTGCTGCCGGCCTATGATGTCCTGGGTAAGCCAGCCACAGAGCCACAGCCTGCCCTTCCTCATGCCTTCATCCTCTCTTCTATTTGTGTGTGTGTGTGTGTGTGTGTATGTGTATGGAGGAGGTATTCACACGTGTGCAAACATCTATGCACGCATTTGCACGTGTGGGTAGAGGCCAGAAGCCGGCCTTGGATGCTGGTTACTTAGGAGCGTATTGGGAGGTTTACCTGTGTGCTGTGATGGAGCTGAACCCACAACTTCTGGCACCTGGAGCCTCAGCAGGTTAACGAGGTACACCACAGGGGTGGGGAGGGCTGCCCGCTTTCCTAGGGGGTATCTGTGGAAGAGTCTGGGGCTGTAAGCTGGTATACTCAGACATGTTCAGGGCTTCACTGGGGCTTCCTCCACTTTCTGCACGGCAGGCGGCTTGTTGTTTGTTTTCAGATGCGTTGATATGCTGTCTGGTCAGACAGTGAGCCTGTCGGATGCTCCTGTCTCTACCTCTCCCAGAACTGGGTTTTCAGGTGTAGACCCTCCTGCCCCCCACCTCCGGCTTTTTTATGTGGGTGCTGGCACTCTGATTTGGGTCCTTATATATACCTAAGGAGCCCTTTACCCACAGAGCATCTCCCCAGCCCCATGGCTCCTACAGAACACCTGCCTGGTGGGCAGTTCTCTTGGTGGATGGGTGTCAGAATTCTGTGTCTCTAAAAGTGGGACAGAGACGTGTAGCTAAAACTTGCTGCTTGTTGCATTTTCTATCAAAGAATTGGAGACCTCAGACCTTCTGTGCAGAAGCCTGGGTGTATGTGTGTGTGTGTGTGTGTGTGTGTGTGTGGTGCTTGTGTAGGATGCCGGATTTCTCAGAGGAGCTCTGTTCCCCTCAGGAAAACTGAAAACCCGGAACACATACACCCCAACCTCCCACATGAACACACGTTATAATGTGTCATTGTACATTAATGATCCTCTGAGTTAAAAATCTCACACCAGGCCTGACACACAGTGTGTCTCCAAGATTACACTACCCAAAGACAACCAGGAACACCCTGAAAGCACAGTGGAGACATGGGGAGCTGAGAGAATTCTTGAGGCTTTATGGCTGGGGAAGACACACCGCCCCCTGTTGGCCAATGTGTGAACTGCTGCTATTAACTTACAAGGCCACTAGCCCTTGGCTTAGGAGAGCCATGGAAACAGTACAGTCTCAGGCAGCAGGGAAGGAGAGGACCAGCCTGAGAGCAGGACCAGGGAAGCGTGCTGTGGGAAGCTGCAAGAGGCTGAGAAACTGCTCAGTGGAGGGGTCTGGAGGGGGACCCAGAAATGAGCTGGGAGGGAGGGTCCTGCAGAAGCCTGTCTCAGTCACGGGCTTCCCCGCCTGAGGCAGCTTTCCAGTGGGGAAGGGGCTCCACCACACAAGCACAGCCTTGGGAATGGCAGTGTGGGTGACAGCCCAAGAGAGGACTCCGACCACATTCTATCCCATGTGATTTAGCAGACGAATCCCATTGGGTCCTGATATAGGAAATAAGCTCTTGAGACATCCCCGGGTCACTGAGTGACTGGGCATGTCCCAACCTCCATTACTGAGTGATTTTGCCCTGTGCCAGCATCAGAGCCTGATGGCATGGCCACTGCAGCCATAGCCACATCCCTGCATACATGTAAGGCACAGCCTGTCGCCTGCCTAGTCTACTCAAATGTATACACACACACGCATGCACACACACACACACACACACACACACACACACACACACACACCGCTACTCTCAGGACCTGGACAATCAAAAACAAATAACATTAAGTGAAGCACTACAGAAAACCATGCACAGCAGACACAGTGGTTGGGGAGACAGTCAGTGGATAAGGGCAATTGCTGCACAAGCATGAGGACATGAGTTCAAATCCCCAGAACCTACCTAAACTTAGGGAGTGCCTCACATTGACCTGTAACACCAGCACTATGGGACAGAGACAGGAGAATCTCTGTGGTCTGCTGGAGGCCAGCCAAGCTCCACGTTCACAGAGAGACGCTGCCACAAAGGGAGAAGGTGACAAACTATAAAGGAAGACACCGTATGTCCTCTTCTGCCTCTAAACATTTGTGTATAGCCCCACCCACAATCCATGCATAATATACAAAATAAGTCAGAGGCTCCGTAAGCACGAAATATGATAAAGAGATACAGAGACTGCTCCACAGTGAGCTTTGACACCAGCAGGAGTGCGCATGCGACACCCACCGTGCAGAAGGTCCTGGAGCAGGAACACGGTTGGCCACTGTGAGGTGTTGTACAGCTCTCTGCTGTGTGGCACGGTGCGCTGTTTCTCCCACCCCTGTCTACGGGATGTGAGAAGGGCACTGCGCTAGGACCAACAGGGGGCAGGGACATTCCAGGGCCACATGGCGTAAGCAGTCCTGAGGTGCTTGCTGTGGTGAAACCACCCTGTTCACTGAACCCCAGGGCCAACTAACATCACCCCAGAGAGACCCAAGAACCTCAGAGAAAGGGTGGGGCATTAGAATTAATGACCTCCTTTACAGGTCAAGTCAACTGCAAACCTGACCCCCAAATCTACGCCAGACTCATCAGGGAGTGCAATTCCCTGGGGAAGGAGGGCGAGTTCTCCACCTGCTTCACAGAGCTGCAGCGGAACTTCCTGAAGCAGCGTCCAACCAAGCTGAAGAGTCTCATTCGCCTGGTCAAGCACTGGTACCAACTGGTAAGGCATCTGGCCCATTCACTATGAGCCCCCTCTTCCAGGATGTGTAGAATGGAGGGGATGATGAGGGGAGGGAGAGATGAGGAGCAAGATAAGATGAAAGGTATAGAGGAAAGGGAATGAAAGAGAATCTAGAGTGAAGGAGGAATTCAAGGGAGGGAAGAGAGGACCTGGGAGGAAGGAGAACTTTCCATGCTTGTTATGAATAATTTTTTTCTATTACAGTTTCCAGTCGACTAACTCACTCTTTAGCTGTGTCTAATTCATTGTTCATGTGTCATTTTGATCTTTGATTTCTCTTTCCTCCTTTCTCTCTTTCTCCTCCTCCTCCTCTTCCTCCTCTTCTTCCTTTCTTCCTGAGACAGGGTCTCACTGTGTAGCCCTGGGTGTCCTGAAACTCACTATGTAAACCAGGCTGGCCTTGAACTCACAGAGATCTGCCTGCCTCTGCCTCCTGAGTGCTGGGACTAAAGGTGTGCACCACTGTGCCCAGCTTGATCTTTGGATTTCTAGCTGACTTTCTTTTCAAACATTCCTTGTCACTTTCTGTGCTTTGATTTTCCTGACCTGTCAAGGTATCGTTTTGTTTTGTTTTTAAACATCTATTTTTTTATTGTTTTCTAGACTTTTTTTTAAATAGACGTGTGACATATATCTGGTGTTGGCGTGTGCATACCTGTTCATGGGAGTGCGTTTTGTGTGTGTGTGTGCATAGACACGTGGGTGTCCGAGGGCAACGTCAGGTCTCCAGTCACTCTCCATCCTTACATATAAGGCAGGGTTTCACACTTGAACACTCTGTGCTGCACCAGCAGTTCTGGACAGCCATCCGCCCTGGGGAGCCCCAACTCCACCCCTGAAATTGGGATTACAAATCGGCTTCCTCACTAGCATGACATTTATGCATGTGCTGGAGATCGGACCTCCAGTTCTCACCCTTGCGCAGGGAGGGAGGCAGTTTCCACACTGAGCCGTGTCCCGAGCTCCTTCCTCCTCACCTCAAAGCCCGCGATGAAACCTTCAATAGTGAGCAATCATCACTATCCTGCCCCCACCCTCGCTCCCTAGTTGTCACTCACGCTGCCATGATTCCTCCTGTGGCTGCTAGTAAATGCTCAGTCTGTGAGGGCCACATGGTGTCCATCTCAACTGGAATGGGTGAGGCTGTGTGACAATGGCCAACATCAGGGGGAAGCTGAATTGAGCCAATGGGAAGTGGCCCCTCCACAACAGCTAGAGCCCCGTTTTTCTTATGGTTTTTCTCTTTCAGTGTAAGGAGAAGCTGGGGAAGCCGCTGCCCCCACAGTACGCCCTGGAGCTGCTCACAGTCTATGCCTGGGAACGTGGGAGTCTGTCCACTGACTTCAACACAGCCCGGGGCTTCCGGACAGTCTTAGAACTGGTCACCAAGTACAGGCAGCTTCGAATCTACTGGACAGTGAATTATGATTTCCAACACCAGGAGGTCGCCAACTACCTGCACAGACAGCTCAGAAGAGCCAGGTAGCCTGTCCCCACATGGCTTGGCTCCACAGCAGCAGGGTGGGCCAGGCTTCAACAGTGTGGAAACGGGAGGGAGGAGCTCCGTGTCCAGGGAGCATCACTAGCCCTGTCTCTGTGCTAGGCACTGTTCTGAGGTCACCTGATTGACATGAGGCCCTACAGCGCTGGGAGGCAGGGGTGGGCTCTCCTGTGTGCAGATGAGGAGACCAAGGCTCTGACATTGTCCAAACCAAGCAGCAAAGGGAGGGGAGCACACGGAGCAGGAACTGAGCTATCCCAGCAGTAACAGCATCCTAAGGGCTGGGAGACACCAAAGACCAGCCGGTGGACCAATTAACTGTAAACAACGCAGTAGACTGGTCACTGAGGGAGTTTCATGTCTTGATCCTGTGCTGTGTTCAGTCTTTACGCCTCATCCTTTGAGACTGGCTGGTCCAACTCTCCCCACCTCACAGATCAGAGAGGCTGAGGGTCCTGTCCCAGGACACACAGCTACAAAAGTAGAGGATTTGAACCCAGGCCTTCCAGGTCATGGCCAAAGATCCTTCCAGGCTTGCTGTATGCTGTGGGGCAGTCACTCTGGCCAAACTTTGGATAGGGTACTCTGCTGGGCTCCCCTCCTGCCCCTGTGTGGTGGTACCTGGGCACTGGCCAGCTGGTCAATTCCTCTCTGAATATTGTTCTTCAGGCCTGTGATCCTGGACCCAGCTGACCCAACAGGAAACATTGCTGCTTCAAACCTGGAAGGCTGGAGGCGGCTGGCAGGCGAGGCCGCTGCCTGGCTGAAGTGCCCATGCTTTAAGAACAGAGATGGTTCCCCAGTGTGCCCCTGGGATGTGCCGGTGAGAATCTGCCTCTCTGCTGTCCCCTTGCACACAGCCTCATTCTCTTCATCTGCTTGCAGCATAGCATCTCAAAGGTGTGATCTCCACACTCCTGTAATGGCCAGCTGCTTCCCTTGTTTTACAGCCATTTTAGCAGCATTCAGAGATTTTTTACAGGCTGGCAAGAAAGCTCAGTGGCTAAGCACTTGCTGCCAGCACTGAAGACCTGGGTTTGATCCCTAGAAGCCATTTGCTAGAAGGAGAAAACAATTCCACCATGTTTTCCTCTGACCTTCATCTCTGTGCTG